ATTATTTTTCCATTTTGCCTTGTAAATTCTTGTTCTATGTTGTAAGCGAAAAATAAAACTGTTATATCTTATATCTTATATATGTTATATCTATGGTGATACCTAAGGCTAAGGTTATAGTTTATGACTTAGGGTTAGGGTTAGGGTTTTTGCATCATTCCTTGATATACGGAAAGTCTGTGCATCAGTTGATGATACACAGAAATCTGTGCATCACTTCGTGATACCTAAGGTGCCTAAAGTGGATTTGCGCCGATATTTTTATATCTACCGCCCGGCTCACCATATCTCACTGTACATACTTTCCGCTTGCAGTAACCGAACACCGAAAAATTCGTGTGAAATGGCCGAGAATATCGACGCGGATGGCGAGGAAATCGCCTCGGACGAAATACGCGAGCTGCGGCGAAGATTTCTCGACGAGCGACGCAAGGAAATCAACGGCGGAACGTACGACCGTCGCGACGTCGATCGCTTCGAGAAGGACGACCACTACGTCGGACTCTTCCTGAAATCTCGCTACGGCAACGTCGGCGACGCGCTGACCGCCGTCCACACCTCGCTCGAGTGGCGCAAACAGTTCGCGATCGCCGACGTCCGTGAGGAGGACCTCCGGCCGCAGTTCGAGTCGGGGTTGCTCTACTTCCACGGCCGCGACCGGGAGGGCCGCGCGATCCTCTGGTTCGTCGGGCGGCTTCACAGGAGGGACGCGTCGCAGCTGGACGCGCACAAGCGCTTGCTCGCGCACCACTTCGAGCGGCATTGCGCGGAGAACCCGCGCGAGCAGCTCGTCGTCGCGATGGACATGCACGGCGCGGGTCTCGCTAACCTCGACATGGACCTCGTCTCGTTCATGGTGAGCTGCTTCGAGACACTGTTCCCGCACATGCTCGCCTACCTCATCGTCTACGACCTCCCGTGGATGCTGCAGGCCGCGTGGAGGATCGTCCGCTCGTGGCTGGACCCGCGGGGCGTGGACGTCGTCAAGGTCGTCGGCAGGAAGGAGATCGTGAGCTACTTCGACGCGGAGAACCGACCCGAGCACATGGGGGGAGTCGACGCGTTCAGGTTCGTCTACCGCGGCCCCGAGGAAAGACGGAAGGTGACCTTCGCGGATTCCTTCGACGACACGGCGCAGTCCGCAGCGGCGGACGCGGCGAACGTCGAATACAGCACGCCCGCCAACGAAAACCCGCCGCCCTTTCCCGGCTTTGACGGCGCCGCAGCGCCCCCTACCGGTGCGCGCAGGAGAGGCCGCAGAAAGTCGGTGACGGGTCCGTTGCTCGTTATCAGTCCTGGCACGGAGTTGGAGCTGGCCACGGACAACGCCGCGGACTCTTCGGAGGCGATAACGCTCACAAACCGGTCGGAGAAGGCCGTGGCTTTCAAAGTGAAGATTACGAGTCCGCAGAAGTACAGGGTGCGTCCCAGCTCCGGCGTGATCCAGCCCGGCGCGTCGGCGGACGTCACCGTCTCCCTGCAGTCGGGATTCTCGAGCGTCGCTCGCGACAAGTTTCTCATCATGTCGACGGAGCTAGAGGAACGGCAACCGTCGGCGGACGGTCTCGCAGCGGCGTGGAACAACGCGAGTTCCGTATTCAAACACAGACTGCATTGCAGGGCGCGACCGATCGCGGACGACGCCGTGTTGCCGCTAGACAGGCAGGTGTCGAAACTCACCGACCAGATGAGCTAATGCGTGCTGAGATTTGGCATTGGAGAGGAGTACTTGACGGTGTTCACGTGATATTATTATAATTGGTTCATGTATGATGTAATAACAAACTTTGATTGTGGTGCTTTCATGCATTACAATTTACATTACTGAGTACACTACACACTACTCAGTGTCACGGTCAGTACCACAGGCACTTGGAACGTCTCAATAAAAAAAAGTAAATAAACACGAAATGTATTTACTACCAAAGTCTTAATGTTTCTCTACTCTATTTCGCCTATTATTGCCGCTAATTACCCGCAAGTGCCGGTCAAATGCTCATCTGCAACACACAAGTACACCGCACGCACGCCCTGTGCACAAACAACATGAATGAGAGAGCAGGTAGGAAAGCGTGATCGCAAAATTCGCTCGACGCTCGCTTCATTTCACACCTTCACATCACGAATACACATCTAACAGCGTCCATCTTGGTATCTATGTCTAGCTAAATGTTCACTTGTTCGAATTATAACTCTGTCCTTTGTTCTTACCTACTCCCGCCAGAGATATCTCGTGAAATCCTGCAGGAAATGTTCTCTCCGTGAAAATGTAAAGAGAACGTATCATCCGAAAATCCCTAACGACGCTACTCGATATTTTGACCAATCACTGTAGTTGTGTGTGTGACGTCATGCCCGCGCGCATTATGCTTGGCTTGGCGGGCCTCAAAACAGAGCTCAAAGGTAGGCAGCAGCTCATCCCGGCATGCAATGCGCCGCCATTACTCGTGTATAAACAGACATCTAGTCCTCTTATATTTTCACGGCGAGAACATTTCCTGCAGGATTTCACAAGATATCTCTGGCGGGAATAGGTAAGAACAAAGGACAGAGTTATAATTCGAACAAGTGAACATTTAGCTACACATAAGTCTTTAGATACCTAGCTCCAAGAAACGGTCCTTGCTAGGGTTAGGGGACGTGTATATTGACGTTAGTCACACAGCCTGGTTGGGTTAATAGAGCTGAGAGGGTCTATGTCCCCCAGGGTACTGCCGGAACGTAACCTGGGTATGGTCCGGTATACCGGAACGTACCCTGGGTAT